CTCCTCCACCTCCTCCCCCTCCTCCTCCGCCTCCGCCTCCTCCTCTTCCCCCTCCCCCTCTCCTCCTCCCCTCCCCCTCCTCCTCCTCCTCCTCCTCCTCCTCCTCCTCCTCCTCCTCCTCCTCCTCCTCCTCCTCCTCCTCCGTTGCCCCGCCCCAGGGGTGCCTCGCGGGCGCGGGTGGGGCTCGCCGGGGCCTGGCCGGTGGTCGCAGCTGGCACAACGCAGCACACGCCGCATGGCCTACACCGCGTGCCGCGTCGCGTGCACGGCCCAGCTCGCAGCACCCGGGTCGGTCAGCACGGCTTGGAAAGCATTCCAGCTCGCACCGCATGGCTCACACGGTATGGACTGCACCACGTAGCTCACACAACCGAGCTTGCAGTTTAAAGTTAGCATTGAGTAGATGAGCCCACATCGCTCACATCCACCGTGCAATACATCACTGCTTGGGGTCCGCGTGGGCTACCACCTTGTATTGGCTGGCGATTACCCGCGTTCTAGATATAAGCAGGTAGGCACCGCCAGCAGCTTCTAATAACCCTGGAATCAAATTAACCCGCAGGCCCAGGCTCAGCTTAACAAGTTTTCCAAGCACACGATAAGGACAGACCCCACATTGGTGGCTGCCTGAGGGTAGCCACGCCGACTGTCGGTTGGGCTGAACCACTGGCTCGCTCACGTTCCGTGCGCTTCTCTCGCCGATCGTTCTCGATCATCGCCCCTCCACCTCCTCGGTCCTTCTCGCCGCCCTCAGAATCCCTTCTCCGCGCCGCCAACCATGCACCCCCTCGCCTGTCTGGCTCACTCCATGCATACAGCCATTTATCATGACACTCGGTCTATAGTTTTAACAGCACACACACACACACATCGGTGTTTAGTGGTTTGGCCAGTGTTTGGTGGGTGAGTTGGTGCCTGGTGGGTGGGGCGGTGTTTGGTGGGCGGGGCAGTGTGTGGTGGCTGAGTAGTCGCGAGACGAATAGTCGCAACGATGTGCGCCACCTCATGATCGGCGTCGACACAGTCATGCGATTACGCAGATCGTCACCAGCGACTCCATCGATCAACCAGCAACGATCCGCAGGCGACAAGGGCACCGCGGCGCCCTCTCCGAGCCCCCATGCAAATTGTTGCCGACGGACTCCCCCCCCCCCCAGCAGGTGTACCTGCAGCACCAGGTCGCAAGGCGGGCTTGCGGCCTGTCCCGCGGGTTGGCGCGGGGCGGAGGGAGGGAGGGGGAAGAGGGTCAGGAGGAGGAGGAGGAGGTGTAGGAGGAGGAGGATGAGGAGACGAGGAGACGAGGAGAGTAGGAGGTAGGGAGGACGGCGAGGATGGAGGATGAAGAAGATGGGAGGAAGCGTGAGGGACTGTCATTGGTGGAGGCGCAGCTGCCAGCGCACGGCTGCCAGCCATCATAGAGAGCCGGGCAGAGATGCAGGAGGGCGACGACGTCGACGAGGTCCAGGACAAGAGATGAGGCAGGCAAGTGGGGATGGAAGAGGCGGAATGGACGCGAAGGAGGAGGAGTAGGAGAGGTATGGACGGGGGGAGAGTGGGCGGGAGGATGCGAAGACGAGGACGAGGGAGAAGAAAGGTAGGAAGAACGGAGGATGCGGAGTGGACGAGGAAGAAAACTGTGGGGAACTCATCACTCTGATGTCAGAGAAAGTCCCCTCAGCTGATCTCGGCCAGCCTCAGGCCAGATCCTTGGTTCCGCAAACAGCGCTTGGATCAGGGATTCTTACTTCGGTTGTCCAAGAAAATTGATGGGTACGGTGGGAGCCCATGCCAAGAAAGACCCTGCTTGCCTCCAGGGTGCCCTGGGTTTCTTGGGTTTCTATGATTTTGCTATGGAGAGCGTGCCGTTCCCACACCAGAGACCAAGGACGCCCTGGGGTCTCAGGGTTGGGGTTCCCGCGGAAGGCTTCTCGTGAATTGGCCTGCACCGTACTGGGGTTTCGCCAGGTTTGTGGAAGTCGATTTAATGGAGAGGAAGCACGCTGCCAAATGATTTCCAGATGTCTAGAAGATGAGCCAAGCAGATTTTGAATCTGTATAAAAAAACAATGCTTGAAACATTCTAGGAACACGTGGAACACGCATCTTTCATTCAAGGATGGGATTGTTGGAGTGTCCACTGCCATGGCATCCACAGCGCCGGGTGCCAGCTCGGCGGCCTCCCGTGGACGCCTGGAGGACGCTCCCGGCGCCGGGCGAGTGCCTCGGGGGCTTCGCCCCCGGGTGCCCGCACGTGGCGCCGCGTCGGCGCCCGCTGTGCGCGCGGGGTGGGCGCGCCGGGGCTGCGCCGGGCGGCCGCCCGCAGAGCGCCCCGTGCGCTCGGCGCGGTGCCGGGCAGCGCCTGCTTGGGCCCTGGCGTGGCGCGCCGGGCCGTCGTGCTGGGCTGCCTGGGCGCGTGGCTGCTCCTCCTCCTCCCCCTCCTCCTCCCCCTCTCCTCCCCCTCCTCCTCCTCCCCCTCCTCCTCCTTCGCCTCCTCCTCCTTCACCTCCTCCTCCTCCTCCTCCTCCTCCTCCTCCTCCTCATCAGCGTAGTGCGTGGGCCGTCGTGCTGGACTTCATCGGCACCGGTGTGCTCCAGCGGGAGCCTGCGAACCGTGCGCCCTCTCGCGTTTGAGGTGGGGTGTGTGGTCAGTGTGAAACAAGCAAAGGGAATTTTTCTCACATCGCTGGTGCCACATAGAATGCCACACACGCAGCCTGTATTGTATACATATATATATAGACACACTGCATTACAACACACAGGGAACGCACCGCATAGCTTGAAGCGCAAAGTTTGCACCGCATCATCTGCGTCAATTGTAGCTTGCATCACACAGCTGTCCCGGCATAGCTTGCACCATACGGTTTGCAACGCACGTCTTGCACGTGGCACAGCAGTTGGTGGAGGTGTTCCTCCTCTTCCCCCGCGTCGTTCTTCTTGCCCCCTCGCGTTCGCCACGGCCCTCCGCCCTCTCTCATCGTCACGCCGTGGGTGATCTTCGCGTCCGCTCGTTTTGGCCCCTCCCTCCCCGCTCTCGGCGCGCTCGGACGTGTAGGCGCTTCCCCTCTCAACGCATCAGGGGAAGCAAACCCGCCCCGACCACCAAACACTGGTCTTTACGAAACAGCTACGGGCGAAACAGCCCTGCCCTGTTCGATTCCTTCCTCAGGTGCGTCTATTCAAGCGCGTCGCCTGCCAGGGGGTTTACAATGAGGGTGGTTCTTCTGCCTTCTAATGCAGACTCATGATGATGATGGCCCCTGCGTCGTGGCCTGCGCAGTTGAGCTCCCAGTGCACGCTGCAAAGGTGCAGCGGCAGCGACACGATCCACCATGAATTTGACTCCGCGGCCGCCTCGTCCTCCCTTCCTCTCTCAGGGGGGATGATCAGCGAGCGCGTTCCGCTACTCGCAAAGTGCCTACTCGCAAACGTCCGAAACGCACATGTCTGCCTCGATGTAATGTATCGCAGATCCCCCATGTTGGATCCATGCCATTTGCGAGTAGTTACTTTGCGAGTAGTGGAACGCGCTTGTCCAGATGAGGGGAGGAGAGTGCCGAGACGCGTCGGGTACCAAGGCGCATCGCCGAGGATCTGGAGGTCTTGCCTGGTCACGAGATACACATCGACCCGGCCCTGCTCTTCTTCATCCTCAAGGCTTGGGTCCTCTCGGGAGTGAGGAGAACGATTATAAGGAGTTGGAACAGGAGTGGGCAGCGGGATAGACGAGTAGGAGGAGACCGATGAGGAGGAGCAGGTGAAGGATCAAGAGGAGGAGGAGGAGTAGGAGGGGGCCGACGACGACGAGGACGGCGACTCAGAAAACAAGGACCTTAGGCGGACGAAGAAGAATGGCAGGACGAGCACGAGGAGGAAGTCAGGCCGGACGAAGTCATAAAGGACACTGGTGGACGGGAAGGATGAGGAAAGGGAGGAGGCAGAGGAGGGGGACGCGGAGGAGGATGAGGAGGACCATTTCAAGCCCAAGACTCTCCAACCAGACTGCACGAAGGCAGCGACATCGGCGAGTACGACGGACGACGAGGACGACAAGGACGAGGGGACGATGCAGACAGGGAGGAGGAGGAGGAGGAAAAGAAGGAGGAAGAGGGGAATGACGACAGGCAGGAGGAGGAGGCGGAGAATCTGGAGGAGGACGAGAACAAGAACGAGCAGGAAGGAGATGTGCGAGGAACATGGTGGGGCGGGGGACGGGCGAGAAGGAACATTGGTGGGACGAGTGGAAGAGGATGAGCCAGGAACAGGAGCTGGAGGAGGGGGATTGCTTGATTCCGCTTCGGCGAGAACGAGTCCAGCTGCCCGTGGTCAATGAAGGATCGAAGCTGTCGACCCTTGGCTTGGAGCTTCTACTCCAAAGCGGATGCACTTGTCCGGGAAAACTGTGCCGCCTCTCATGCCCAAAGAGCCCGCACAGAGAAGGGGGAAGGAGGTGGAGGGTCGACGTGCGCTACCGCTCTGGCCAGGAGATAGAGGAGGGGACGGAAGGCACGGAGTGCTAGAAAGCTGCGGGCTTTGGCATTTGGCACTTTCTTTTTGAATTACCCGACTCGGCTCCTAGCCGGCCGGTTCACAATGCCCTTCCCTAATCCCACTCCCCTCCCACCATGTCCCGACCACCCGTCTCCACCACAACTAGCGCAGAACTGGCGCTGGGCAAGGATGGCGATGGGGGGAGGAGGGAGGAATAGGAGGGGGAAGCACACTGCATCTATTTCTGCGGAATTCTACCCCGCACAAGCCTTTGCTGCCCTGGACTGCAACACTTCGGCTGCATCTGGCACTTTCTGGGGGAACCTTAGGCGGGCCTTGCCGCCCCCTGCAGAAAAAATACTGATGCTAAGTCTGACGTCGGTCTCACAGCTCAGCCTCAGGACGGTCCTCTGGCCGTCTCAGGTCGGCGCCCTTGCGCCGAGCGATGCCGCCACCTCCGCCCAAGCCTCCGCCTGCTCTGCAGGTCGGGACTCTGGAACACCCTCGGCCGCCAGGTGGGTCCCCTGGCGCGAGACTTAGTGGTGCCCAGGACCACCCCCACAAGTCCCCTTGCCCAAGGGGGACCAGGTGGCACGCGCCAACGAGCCTCCCCCGACCGTTCTAGGTGCGGGGTGACCCGAATGCTGAGACTGACGCCCGGGCGGCGAACCCAGGCCGTTTAGCGAACAGCACCCACTACCCCCCGTCAAGGGGTAGATTTATGCAGGCTCTAGTTCCCCCAGGGCGCCGCGCGGGTGCTGCACCAGCCCGCCGACCTCTGCCCTGGGGGCAGCTGGAGGAGTAGGAGGAAGCGAACAAGGAGGAGGAGGACGACGACGGGTATACAGGACATGGAGAAGGAGGAGGAAGAGGAGGAGGAGGAGGATCAGGTTCACTTCCATCTCCCTCTCCCATCCCTCTCCTCCCCACCTCCGCTCATCCGTCCGCCTCCTTGCTGCTCTTTCCTGTTCTCCTTCTCCCCTCATCTTCCTCCCTCCCTCCTACTCCTCCTTCTCCCCCCCCTCCTCCTCCTCTTCTTCCTCCTCGTCTTCCTCCTCCTCCTCCTCCTCCTCCTCCTCCTCCTCCTCCTCCTCCCTCCACCTCGCTCCCCCCCTCCTCACTGCACCACAGCCCGAGGCGGAGCCCGACACTCGCAATCCGCGTAGACTGATAAAAAAAGAGGGAGCATGGCAGCAGCGGCGCTCCCCCCCCCCCTTTCCTGCAGGGGGGGGGGAGCTTGCCACGAGGAAGGGAAGGAAGAGGAGGGGGGAGGAGGAGGAGGAGGAGGAGGAGGAGGAGGAGGAGGAGGAGGAGGAGGAGGGAGACGAAGACGAGGACGAGGAGGACAAATCTATACCGAGCTCTCATCAACCATGCTGCAATGAACCCTCGCTCAAAGTTCCCTCTTCAGGGGCTCCTGCACGGATTTCATGTTCATTGAGGAGGTGTTTTGTCGCAAGGCAATAGTTCGAACATCCGGAATCGTGCCAGGACGCCACGCTTGGGGCTTCGGTGCCGCGACTCACCGTTCTTGTCGTATCTTGGCGGTCCTGAGTCGTGCTCGAACACCGTCCTTGGGGCTCCAGCACCGCGAAGCGCCGTCATGGTCGCGCCCTGACTTTTTTCCGACACCCTGCCGAAGCACGATCCTTGGGAAGCTCACCATGGGAATCCTTGAAAGCGACTGCAAGCCCTCAACACGAATGGGCGCGGCGCTAAGGCGAGAGCCACCATTAGAAAAGGACCCGCCCTCCCACCTGTTGAAGTGGCCGCAACTGGTTAAGACGAGTGTGCGCGGCGCCAAGGTTAAGTCGGGCACGTCCCTCTACACGAGGGATATTCACAAATTGTCCCAAGATAGTCTGGGGACGATCTTTTAGTATTCGTTTACCATTTGGGGGTACACACTGTTCATTTCTAATTCTTCGAGTCCTTTAATTTCTTTGGGGGGGGGCAAGACCCTTTCTGTTATGTCCTGGGCCTCTTCCTGGCCACTAGGGGGCCAGGAACAATTAGAAACGAGCTCACTTAGAAATGAGCACGAGTAGGAAGCAACGACGTGTATGTTTTGACTATGTTTAATATGTCGCGCAAAAGCCCCCCTGGTAGGAGGACAGGCCCGACTCGACGCCGAGGCGAGAGCCACACACTGCTAGGGGAGAGCCCGCCTCCGCCCGCGCAGCTCTCTTTTGCAAGCTCTTCCGGGCGCGCCGCTTGCGCGGCGCGGGAGGCAAAAGGGCCGCCTCGTGAGAACGGGGCCGCCTTGGCATGCGCGAAGCTCCCCTGCAGAGGTGGACAGACCTCCTGCCTTGAGCCTCCTAGACCCTAAGCCCTGCAGAGGTTGGCAGGCCCTAAACCCTGCAGAGGTTGACAGGCCTCCCAGCCTCGAGGTCTCTCCAGCAGCGGAGCCTCGCCGAGAGCGCTCCGCGGGGGGCCCGCGTCGCCCCGAACGGCCGCCGGAGGCCTGGGCTGTGTCCCGAAGGCCGCCGGGGACTGGGATAGATCGGGGTTGGACAGACCTCCTGCCCTGACGCGTCGAGGAATGACTTGGCCGTGTTCGGTTCGCGAGGGGGCGTCGCGGCCGTCACGCTTGCGGGTCCGGGTCCGTCGGTGTCGGCCCTGGGCCGTTTGCACTGAGGGGGGGGTTGCCAAAGGGAGGTGTGTCCACCGCCGATCTCTGCAGACTTTGAGGCGAGCTGTGCGCGGCGCGGGAGGCGAGAGCCGCACGTGGAAGACGGGGGCCGCCCTCCATCCGCCAAGCCTGCCTGCAGATGCGCGTGACGAGCGTGCGCGACGCCAACGCGGGGGCCACAGTTTGGAAGCGTTCCGTGAAGCTGTCGCAAGCCCCACGCATCAGGGCCATACGTTGTGAGGAAGTCTCGGGGCGAAACGCCCAGCCCATACCCTCGGCCAACCTCGGGGTGTGACAGTGAGGAACTATCCTTATCAGCCTGGAACATATCCCTATCCCTATGCTGGGCACCTCCTCATTACGATGCCAATCTTAGGGATTCCCTTATTTTTTGAGGGCGAATCCCTAAGATTGTCATCGCCTTTTGGCGTGTCAATCTTAGGGATAGGGATACGTTCGAGGCTGGTAATATCCATAAGGATGGGGAACGGACGGCAAAAAGCGGATGAGGAGGAGGCGGTGGAGGAGGGGGATTCGTGTAAACCCCAGATTCGCCAGCGATGTTGGCATAAGCCCTCCTCCCCTACAAGGGTTCATGTCTACTGAGGGGGAGCGCCGCGTTGGGAGACATACGTTTGACTATCCTGAAGCGTGCCACATACCCATCATCGGACCGTCAGCGCCATTGTTGCGTATTGACGGTCCAGAATCGCGGCGGAAAACCATTCTTGGGACTTCAGCACCGCGAATCAACATCACTGCTGCGCCCTGCAAATCCAGAATCGTTCCAAAACGCATGTGTTGGTGCGTTAACCACGGGATGCCGTGAAATTGTTGCACACGTTTAAGAAATGCGCGCGGCGCTAAGCGAGAGCTACACTTCGAAAATAAATCGCCATTCGTCTGTGAAGCTCTTGCAAGCTGTCTATAACGAATGCTCGCGGCGCTCAAGCGAGAGCCACACTTCGAACATGAACGGCCCTCCATCCGTGAAGCTCTTGCGAACGTTTTGAAACGAATGCATACGCGCGGCGCTAAAGCGGGAGTCATCATGTGAAACGGGCCGCCCTCCATCCGCTAAACTCTTGCAAGTGTGTATGACGAGTGCGCGCGGCGCTCAGGCGAGAGCCACATGTTGGAAGCGGGCCGCCCTCCATCTGAGAAACGGTTGCCAAGGTTCAAGCTTCAGGCGCATAAATCGTAAGGAAGTCTCAGGCAGAACGCCCAGCACGCCCTTTCGGCCAGTCTCGGGGTGCGACAGTGAGGAGCTATCTATATAAGGATGAGGAATGGGGGGGGGAACGGGCGGATGAGGAGGGGGATGGAGGAGGAGGTGGAGGAGGAGGAGCAGCAGCAGCAGCAGGAGGAGGAGGAGGAGGGAAGAGAGAGGAGGAGCAGAGCCAGGATGGAGGAGGTGGGGGAGGAGGGAGGAGGACGAGCGCCGACGAAGAGAGGTGGAAGGGAGGGGGCGGAGGAGGAGGTGAGGGAGGATGAGGAGGAGGAGGAGGAGGAGGAGACGAGGAGGGCGGGGAGGAGAGGAGGAGGCGAAGGAGGAGCAGGAGGAGGAGGAGAGGAACGGGAAGAGGAGAGAGGAGGAGAAGGAGGAGGAGGAAGGGAGGAGGAGGAGGAGGAGGCGAACGAGGACAAGGAGCAAGGAGGAGGAGGAGGAGGAACAAGAAGAGGAGTAGGAGGAGAGGATGGGGGAGGAGAGAGGAGGGAGGAGGAGGAGGAGGGGAGGAGGAGGAGGAGGAGGAGGAGGAGGAGGAGGAGCAGATCCAGGACGAGGACGTGGGGGATGAGGAGAAGTTGGAACCGGATGAGAATAATGGGGAAGAGGTAGCGGCAGACGAGAGTGATGATGATAATGTCGATGGTGATGACAATGATGACACTGATGATGTTGATGGTGGTGATGATGATGATGATGCTGATAATGACGGTGATGGTGATGGTGATTATGGTGAATGTGATGATGTTTGTCATGATGGTGGTGAGATGATGATGCTGCTGATGGTGATGATGATGGTAATGATGGTAATGGTGGTAATGATGATGATGATGATAATGATGATGATGATGATGATGATGATGATGATGATGCTGCTGATGATGATGATGATGATGATGATGATGATGATGATGATGATGATGATGATGATGATGATGATGATGGTCATGGTCATGGTCATGGTATGGTCATGGTCATGGTCATGGTCATGTGATGATGATGTGAGGGAGAAGAGGGAGGAGAGGAGGAGGATAGGAGGAGGAGGAACGGGCGAGGATGAGGAGGGGGACGGGGGGAGGAGGGGGAGGGGAGGAGGAGGAGGAGGAGGAGGAGGAGGAGGAGGAGGAGGAGGAGGGAGGAGGAGGAGGAGGAGGGAGGAGAACGCTACATGCTGCAGAAAGGAGAGGAGCCAATAGGGAGGTATTTGGGGCGCGGGTAGAGGAGAGAGGGGAGGAGGGAGGAGGATGACTAGGACTAGGACGACGAGGACGAGGACGAGGAGGGGGACGAGGCCGAGGCCGAGGACGAGGACGAGGGGGCGGAAGGACGGAGGAGGAGGAAGAGGAGGAGGAGGAGGAGGAGGAGGAGGCGGCGGGAGGATAGGTCCTCCGTCCTTCTCCTGTTCCGCCCCGCCTCCTGCGCCCGGCGCGTCGTCGCCCCCTGCATCCCGGCAGGTTCGGCGGGAGCACCTGCTGGAGGCGCCCGCGCCGCGCTCGGCCCCCGCCCCCCCTGCGCCCGCGGCCCCTCCTCGCCCCTCCCCCATCTCCTCCTCCCCCTCCCTCCCTCCCCCTCCTCATCCTCCTCCTCGCTCCTCCCCTCCTCTCCTCCCCCTTCTTCTCCTCCCCCTCCTTCCTCCTCCTCCCCCCCCTCCCCCTCCTCCTTTCCCCAAGCCCTCAGAGGAGACAAAGGTCTAGGAGGGGAAACAGCAAACAGACACAACGAAACGCCGATGCCCCCGAAAATATGGGAAGATATGGGAAGTGGGGGGGGGAAAGACAACAACCCAGAAAATGTAGGAAAATATGGGGAATCGTTTTATTTGTATGTGTATTTCTTTGTGTGTCCTGGGGCCCCTTCAGAGGTGCCCAGTTCCCTCTCCCTCTCCCTCGGCTCCCTGCTCGGGGGGCCCCGCGCGGCTCCCCCGTCGCGGCCGCCGGCCTCGCACCGGAGTCCCGCTCAGGGCGCGCCCCCCGAGAGAGGTCTGGGGCCCAGCGGCGTCGGTGCCCTCTGCCTTCCCCCCCCCGCGGCCCGCCGCCGCCGGGTGCCGGGCCGCTGGATGGGGGCCGCCGCCTGCGGCTTGGCATCGCTCGGACGTGTGCATTTTTCCTTCGGCGAGGACCATCGAGGAGCATCCTTGATCATTTGGCGAAAAAACCACGCACGATACCGAAACAAAAACACAGGAAATGGACGTCGCGGCCCGCGGCCCGCCGCCGCCGGGGTGCGGGGCCGCCGGATTCGGGAGTCGGGAGTCAGAGCCAGAGCGCCGGATCTTGCAGGAGCCTGCAGGGACAGGGTCGCCTTGACCCGGGCTGTGGGTGCAGGCTCCCGCAGGATCGCGCAGGATCTTCCGCATCGACCCGGCTTGGAGGAGGAGGCCGCTGCGCCCGAGACATCTTCCAGAGCCGCCAGATCTCAGAAATTCTAAATGGATGGGGACGAGGAGGAGGTGGAGGAGGAGGAGGAGGAGGAGGTGGAGGAGGAGGAGGAGGAGGAGGACGAGGACGAGGAAGGCGCCTGCAGGATCTGCAGGATGCTGCCAGGCCTGGCGGACCCTGGTCTGGAGATTGACCCCGGGGGCCGCCCTTCTGCGGTGCCTCGGCTCTCTCTCGTCGTCCTGCCGCCCCCCCCCCCGCCGGCCGCCAACAGAGGGAGAGGAAAGACGACGACGACGACGACGACGACGACGACGACGACGACGACGACGACGACGACGAAGAGGCCGACGACGAAGAGGCCGACGACGACGAGGCCGACGACGACGAGGCCGACGACGACATCCACGCCGACGACGACGATGCCGCCGATGCCGACGGCGACCACGGCAGCGACGGCGGCTGCGGCGGCGGCGACGACGACGGCGGCGACAGAGGCGGCGACGGCTGCGGGGATGGAGTGAGCAGGCGGCGCATCCTCCTCCTCCTGATCCCGTCCCACTCTCCCCCATCGGGGGGCGAGGATGGGGTCGACGACGTCGATGATGACGAGGGTGGATCTGGACGGGTGAGGAGGACGGGTGAGGAGGAGGGCGCAGGAGGGAGGGAGCAGGAGGAGGAAGGACGAGCAGGGAGGAGGGGGAGGAGGAGGAGGAGGAGGAGGAGGAGGAGGAGGAGGAGGAGGAGGAGGAGGAGGAGGAGGAGGAGGACGGCACGAGCGCGAGAGTCGAAGTGTCGCAGATGTATCGTCAGCTGGGGCCCTCGGGAGCCGATCCTTCAGGCCCTGAGGGGGCCCAAGAGGGGCCAGAATGGACGCCCTCTGCACACTGGGCCCCACTCCACGACGTCCAGATTGGGCCCCACTCCACGACTCCACTCCACATTGGGTCCCACTCAACATGGGGCCTCACTCCACTCTCCACTTCCACGCGCTCCACATTGGGCCCCACTGCACGCTGGGCACGAGACTCCAGACGGAGGGGAGACGTCCAAGAAGGGGCCCAAGGGTGTGGGATTGATCTAGGATTGGATCTCGTCTTGGACGCCGTCTCGGAACGGCACTGGGCTCCACACGAGGATGGTTTGCAGCCAGAAGGCGGGATGGCAGAAACTCCAGGGTGAGAAATGCCGAACCATTTGGAAGGAGCTCGCGAAGAGAAGTCCAAACACGCCCTTCGGCCTGGTGGGCAGGCGGGTTCAGAGGCTTCCGCCAGCCACCCGAAGGAGGATGGGCGAATGGAAATATCTACGTCGACGTATCCCGCAGCTCCAGCAGTCCATTGAGAAAGCCGAACATGTTGCACTTAGACATCGTGGAGGCTCCTTGGAGTCATCTTGGAGGCTTCTCGGAGCCATCTTGGAGGCACCTTGGGGCCCGCTTGGGGGCCTCCGAGGCCTCCTTGGAGTTGTTGGATCCCTCTGGGGGACCGTGGGGGCCCTCTGGCAGGCATCCTGGGGGCCATGGGTTCAAACCAGGAGGGCAGCCTACATGAGAGCCTCCGGCTCGGGGCCCTGATCGCTCTTGGGGGCCTCCTGGGCTGTCCTGGAGCACTCCTGGGCCCCCCTTGTGATGTTGGGGCCGTCTTGAGGTCGGAGAAACCCACCGCAAGCGAGAAGGTCAGACGGCAATAATCCCTCGAAGCCATCGAGTGTGTTGGGGAGGATGTCGGTTTGACTCTGGCGAAATTCTTGGCAGGCTCGGTTGCCACTTAGAGCGACGTTTCAGTCACTTGCTTCTTGAATTCTGGAATTGTTACCTTCTGCATTTAGTTCCATCATAGCATTCGTTTCATGTTTAGAGGTAGAGCTCTGGCTCTTGGTCTTGCAGGTGCCCCCTAGAACCGTCTTGGCGGGCACCCTGGGGCTCCCTCGAGGCGTTCGCGAGGGTGGAGCTGGAGAAGGGCTCGGAGGCTCTGGGAACAGCGCCCGAGCAGCCCCTTTCGCGCCCCCCCCCCTCAAAAGACATGCCGGGCCCGCGGGGAGGGGGAACGGAGGAGGGAGAGAGCCACTCGTGTGCTCGTTTTTGTTGCACGTCGCTCTGCCGATCGGCGCGGGCCGTCGCCCCCTCCCCATCCCCTCCCCCCTATGGAGTAGAGCTAGGCTGTTGTTTGGCGCCTGTTTCAGGCGGGCGGGATCCCTCCTCCACAGGACGCACGGTTGCAAACAGACGCATTAAGCAGAGGTCCAGAGCCAGACCCTCCCCCTCCCCCCTTCCCCTCTTTCTGCCCAGTGTCGAAACGCCGAAAGAAAAACAAAAAAAACAAAAAAACAAAGAAAAAAAACGCACCATCTCACACGCCTTCCCTCAAAGAAGCTTAACTTGCGCAAACATGAACAGTCGACGGTCCGGAAAGCGGGGGTCGGGCTCACCACCCCGGCAAGCGGGGGTTCGGTGGACCACGGGCAGAGGGAGGTGGTGGCCCCTTCCTGGTGCCCCTCTTCCTCTCGGGTCGGGCGGAAGGGGAGGATAGGGAAAGACACGCACAGGCACAAGTAGATGTCGACGCCTATGAAAAGATGGAAAACACGGGAAGTGGAGGGGATGACGAATGTCCAGAGAATTTGGACGATAGGGGGAATCCGAGAACGTGTGTATATTTCTTCGTGTGTCCCTGGGCCCCATTCAGAGAAGGGTTGATTTCCTCGATGCAGAGGCGCCAGGGAAACCTGCTGCGTGAGGGGATTCGATATAGCCTTAAACCGGGCATAGGAATATTCAAGAAGGCAATCACGTTGTCTGGTGACGATGTGTCGTGTCTGACTACGTTTGAGTATTGTCTGGCTATCTTTTGTCTGTCCTCCAACATCCGCCTGTAGGAGGACATGCCCGACCTAAAGCAAGCTGCGTGGGCTGATCCGCTAACCCCTCCGCTGCTGTCCCCGCCTTCCTTCCGACCCGATCCTTCCTCGGAGAGCGGCCCGATCCTCGGGCCTCGTCGGCGAGGCTAGAACCAGCCAGGCAGTTCCCGTGGGAACGCGCTCTTGGCCGGGCATCCCAGAGGCCAACCAAGCCACTGCATCGATGGTTCGAGGGATCCGTGGTTCGAGGTTCGACCCCAATTATACAATCCCAGCCACGGGCCCCACAGGACCGCCGAGAACGGGCGTTTCAATCGTCGAGAGCCTTGTAGCCCCCCCAAGACCCTCGTCCTCCTCCGCAGCCTCGCACCTCCGAATCTGTCATCCACTCCACCTTCCTCATCCACCCTCGACAGGCTCCTGATCACCTCCCGTCCTCCTCGTGTTTCCTCGGCACTTTCTCCTATGACCTCGTCTTCCGATTCCCCCCTCCCCCCCTTCCAGGGCTCATTTCGATTCCTCCGATTCGATTCGATTCGATTTCGATGGATTCCGATTCCGATTCGATTCGACCTCGGATCCCGATTTGTGATCCGGTTTCCCAACGGAGGCCTGTGAGCTTGCCGATGTCTGCCGATCCGACTTGTCTGGGCTCGGCTGCCGATTCCCGCCGATCCGATGCATGCCGATCGCCGCTCCGACTTGTCGGTCCGATTCTGGGCTCTCCTGCCCCTCGCCCCTCCCCCTCGCCCTTCCTGCGCCCACCTCCCCCCTCCCGGATCGCGATCGCTGGTGCCGATCTTGAGGGGGGGAGGACGCCGTGGTCCAGGGAGATCCGCCGGCGGCTTCGTTTCCTCCTCCTCCTCCTCCTCCTCCTCCTCCTCCTCCCCCTCCTCCTTCTCCTCCTCCTCTCCTCCTGGCACAGGGCGGTGCGCAAATGGGGCCCCGGCACTAGAAGCAAAGGAACAGGGGGCAGGCGGGGCCATTTGGCCGGGAGCACCAATGGCCTCCTTGGTAAGGTTACGGCGTGGATGCCAGGATAACGCCGATTGCCCATAGTCAGGCAGTGGCGAAGCGTTTTGGCTTGCCTATAGGCCCAACAAAGCATGTTCTAAAAACCTTTTGTTGTTTGCACGAAGTGTTCTTAGAACATTGATGGTTGAGATTGTCTTGTTTTGATACATCGGGCGAATGCTCTCAGAACATCGTTTTTGTTATTAATACATCGGGCGAATGTTCTCAGA